AACTAAACCACATGAAACAAAAAAAGGAAAATAAGAATAATTACTGCATCTTCCACTCATGACAGAATATAGGTCCAAAAGCATCAATAATCTCCCTAGGCAAAGAGAAGCCGATCTCCAAACCCGTCTTGAAATCTCTCGATTTACAGAGTGACATCGACCTATCCCCATCAATTGACACCGCCTCGTACTTCACGCTTTCCCAACCCGAATCTTAGCGAGCCCGACACCCTAAAGGTTCGTTTGCCGATCAATGGCCAACACTTCACCAGCCACTCATCTGCATCTGTTAGCAGCTCCTTCTTATTCACCTTGTTCGAAATAAGCTCCCCAATCAATTTCCCAGCAGTGAAAAACACGTCTTCACACCTCAGCTTACCGTGCTTAATCTCCACAACAGCAAACTCCATGCAGTTCTTGAAGTACAAAGCTGGGAGGGGTATTTGGGTTCATCGTCGTTGACGGGCCCTTCGGCTTAGGTCAGGAAGGCCCACACGTAGATTACGGTCACCGTAAAGGACGGGAGGTGGGCCAGTGCCAGGTAACAGGCCGACAGCGAATTTCGAAGGGCTTCAACTTCGTTTTTCTGTAGAACAAACAACGCGTGCATATTCGATGGCTTCTCTTCAGTTCAAAGGTTGGCATCGAAATTACGAAACACTCTGTGCAAAAGGCCATAAAACCCAATGTTTAACTCCCATAAGCTAGAGAATTAAAGGTCCGAATTTCAGCAAAACCAGCATCTTAGAGCAGATGACTGATACCTGAAGGTCTTGGCTTCGTTCGTGGGTGAATTCCTCCGTGGAGCGAGAAATCACTTCACATTCATTTGCACTTTGTGTCAAATTTGTGTGCAGTGAATGAGAATTTAAAACCCTAAACCACCAAACTTGAACGTGCTGAATTGTAGGAGTCTAGTTCAAATCCGGCGCGAGTACATATGAAATTGATCATAATCCCAGCGTAATTCGGGTTGGTCTGAACTCTTGGAGACGATTCCGGCGAGGGGAAGATGGTAAGCTAGGGCTTTAGAGATAACAAGAACGAGGATAATTTTTGGCAAGTATTTTGAAGTGAAGAACAAGAACAATTTGAAAAAGAATAAAATGATATGTAATAATACAAATCTCAAGGGTGTGATCGATATGGTATTGTATTTGTAGGATTGAAATACAAATTAGATAAATCAATGGGCTTGAAACTAAATACATTTATAATTTTATAATTAATTAAATTAATTTTAAATTTTAAAATAATAGTAAACGTGTACAGATGTACAAAGCCACGTACAAAGCGTCCATCATTTCTTTTTTGGTTTGTACATGTTTGTACATTAAATCAATGATACATATTCAATCTTGAGTAAATCTAATGGTAAAATAGGAGGCTACCTGATGTCATGTATGTACAAAGGCACCTGACCCTAGGTCCCTTCTCTTTCCCCATGTTATTTCTCTATTATTCTTCCATTTTTCTTCTCTTCTTCTTTTTGCTTTTCTTCTTCTCCAAACACGAATACCTAAGAATAATAACAATAAAAAAAGAATTGATCAAAAAATTGTACATACAGAATTTATTTATCTAAAAAATAGATGATCGATCACTAAAGACGTTGAAGGCAAGAAAACATATCCTAAGAAGAAAACAATGAAACGTGTTTAAGAGACAAATGACAAGATTAAAAAATAAGAGTTTTGGTACAACAATAACAACAAAAAAAAATACCCCAAACACCTATAAATCAACATAAAAACAACAAAGATCTCCTGTTTTTATTAGGTTCCAGTTTCATTTTCTGTTTGCAATATGCGAACACTCTCAATTCCTATTTATTAACTACTAATAACTTCAATAGCAATAAATCACTTTCTCCAAAGCAAAAATTGTTTCCAAACACTCCCAATATCCTTATATATTTTAAGGAAACATAACAGTAAAATAAAATAATTGATAGTATTATGTTAGGAAGGACAATATAGAAGAGCCCAAACCTAAATTCACACCAATGTTCTTCTAAAACATTATAGAGGAGCCCAACGGAAGCCTAGAATTCCAGCAACAGAAAAACATGGCCCCCACAAAACTCTATTTGCTATCAATTTCTGGTTGTCGCACGAACTGTCGTTGACGAACCTTTCGACGTGCTTCAGGTCGGCCAGAACATGACATATGAGGAGGTGCCAGTAACCATCTTGGACCAAAAGGTCCATTAGCTGATGAATCAGGAGGTGACGCTTGTCAAAGTCTAGTGGAGCCACCATGGCGAGGGCGACGTGACTTGGGAATGTGAGGACGAGAATCAGTCGAAGTATCCAAATTTATGTATTGAGTTTGTCCTTGTATTTCGTATTTTTGTAATTTCTGATGACAAAATCTTTTAAGGAAGGTAGATTGTAGTGCCCCGTTTGATTTGTATGAACAATCTCATTTTATGATAATTTTTTTAATGCATTGTTTGTATATGTCATTATTTGTTTAGCTCGGCTAATTTGCTAATAATTTCAGTAAGATTAATTAGATGTTCTCGTCTAATTGATCCAATAAGTAAATATTTTTGTAGACGTCCTAGTCTACTTAAATTCTTTCATTTTCAGTAATTCATTTTTTTTTTCCCAAGGCAAACAAACAAATTTATATCACTCAAATAAGGTTCAATACACGGCATAATCAACTGATTACAAAGCTATAGATGTGTAGGGAAAATTACATAACCAAGCCACGAGAAAGATAATCACTTCCCCTCCAAAGACCACACTGGTCTAAAAATCCAGAAATAGAGAAGAAATACTAAACTAGTTTAAAAAACAAACAACAAGAAACTTTACAAGCTTCAAACATATCTAGAATGTCTTCAACTAAGTTCCCATAATCAGAGCAAGATACATAAGGCTTGTTCAACAGCTGCACTGCCTCCTCATTGTTCAGAAAACCTTTCTCAGATGTCCAATTAAGGTTCTTGAACTTCTTAAAGCACCATTGAACTGCCAGTAAATAGACCTCAATTGTTGGAATGTTTCTGTGTGGTATCTCCATCTTTTCTTCCCAATGAGTCTTGTTGCCTGAGTCATCTTGAGCTGTATACTCCACTTCAATGCTTCCTTCATCAGATGACTGAGCACTGATGGCCATCCATGACCATCCTACTCTCTTAGGGACTTCATCTAATTCAGGTTCTCCATCTCTGATCTGTTTGTGGCTATCCCACTCTATCCATTCTGCTTGAGCTCTATCAACAATTTCCTTCTCAATGAACCGATCACCTTTAAAAACCCATTTATTCCTGCCCTTCCATAGATTCCACAAAATATAAGCAGATACTGTGATTCTTGCAGTTAAGGTCTCAGACTTACCTTGTGAGCAGATTTGAATCCACCACTTTTTGAAATCCACATCATTTTGTTGCAAGCTATACCAGTGAACTCCACTTAATTTCCACACAGTTTTAGGTTTGGGGCAGAGAAAAAACAGATGGTTAAGATTTTCAATCCCTTCACCACAAACTTTACAGACTGATTCTACCTCAATCCCTCTTCTAATCAATTTATCAGCTACACCCAAGAACCCATGCCAGCATTTCCATATAAGCAATTTTATCTTTGGTTTGATGTTCAACTGCCAAGTGAATTTCCACATTATCTGCCACCAACCTGAAGTTCCACTTGTAGAGGCCACATCTTTGGAGCTGTTCTGAGCTTTGAGAATAGCTTGATAAACTGCCTTAGTAGTAAAAATCCCCCTTTTACCCCAATGACAGATTAATCTATCCTGTTTTCTATGGTTGGATAAGGGAATTTTTTGGATTGATTCTGCATCTATGTGATTAAAAGTTTGTAAAATCAACTCTTGGTCCCACTCCCTACCCCCACTCCTGATCAACTCACTCACTCTAACAACCATGTTCTTATCCCCCCAAAAACAACACTTAGGAATGAAAGTGGAATTATTAGGAATCCATGGGGAATTCTAAATATCAATAGACCTCCCATCTCCCACTTCATATCTAGCTCCTAGTCTAAAAGACCCTCTAGCACTCAGCCAACTTTTCCAAAGCCAAGAATCACCATCCTTGGCTGTAATATCTAACAAACTTTATCCCAGAAATATTTCCCTTTTAAAAATCTACTCACAAGCAGATTTGGAGAAGTTTGAAGTCTCCATAGTTGTTTTACAAGTAAAGCTTCATTAAAGGCTTTAAGATCCTGAAAACCCAGACCCCCCTCTTCCTTGCCCTCAACTAACTTGTCCCACTCAGCCCAATGAATCCTATTACCCCCTTTTTCATTTTTCCCCCACCAAAAGTTAGCTATTTCTCTGCAAATTTGATTGATAATGGTGATAGGAATTCTAAAACAAGACATAACATAGGTAGGGAAAGCACTCAAGACAGATTTGATCAAAATTTCTCTCCCTGAATCACTCAAGTATTTGTTTTTCCAACTCAGAATTCTATTTTTAACACAGTCACTAACAAATTGTAAAGTTTCAACTTTGGATCTTCCTAATCCCTAAAGGTAATCCCAAGTATCTAGAAGATTTGACTCTATTGATTCCAGACAACATTCTACAGATTTGAGACTGGTTTCTCTCAGGGGTGTTTTTAGAGAGAAGAATTGAAAATTTATCAAAATTCATAACTTGACCTGATTCAAGACCATACTGCTGAAGAATATCATTGATCATGATAGCATGTTTAATGTCAGCTTTGCAGAATATGATTGAGTCATCAGCAAAAAATAAATGACTCACAGCAGGTGCATGTTTTCCTATTTTGATACCATGAAAATGACCAGAGTGGCAAGCTTGATTTATAAGATTTGATAGAGCTTCAGAGACAAGTATGAATAAATATGGTGATAGAGGATCTCCTTGTCTCAAACCCCTAGTGGGTTGCAAAAAATCCAAGATTGGAACCATTCAGGTTGAAAGAATAGGAAGTAGTGCACACACAAGCTAGAATCCAAGATAAGAAAGTTTCACTGAAACCCAATTTTCTACAAACTTTAGCCAGAAAGCCCCATTCTACTCTATCATAGGCCTTAGCCATGTCAAGTTTAATGGCCATGAAATTCTTTTTGCCTTTTCTTTTGCTATTCAAAAAATGCACACATTCATTAGCAATAACCACATTATCCAAAATTTGCCTACCATGAATAAATGCAGATTGGGCACTAGATATACAAATAGGAAGGACTACCTTGAGTCTTTTAGCAATAATTTTAGCTATCAGTTTATAAATCACAGCACACAGACTTATGGGTCTAAAATCAATAACTCTACTAGGATTTTTCTTTTTAGGGATGAGAGTTATGACATCATGATTAAGACCCTTAGGCATTCTACCTGTTTGAAAGAAATTATGCACAACAAGATTCACATGATATTTTATAGTGGGCTAAGACTTTTGAAAGAAGCATGCAGTAAAACCATCTTCCCTAGGGGCTTTATCCTGAGTCATATCAAATAAAGCTTTTTCAATTTCCGAATCATCTAATTCTGCAGTCAAGGTATCATTCATGTCAGGAGAGATGAGTCTAGACATACCATCTAAGCTGCAGCCTTCATCAAGGGGATTAGAAGTTTGAAATAATTTCCCAAAATAATCTATGATTTCCATCAAAGTTTCCCCTTGATTAAGGCAACAAGAACCATCAACTTTGGTGATGTTGTCTAGACTATTCACTTTCCTTCATTGATTCACACATGCATGGAAAAACTTTGAATTTTTATCCCCCTCTCTGAGCCAAAGAACTCTAGACTTCTGCTTCCAAAATATTTCCTCACTCTCATATGCTAACTGAGCCTCAATTTTGCACCTAGCCTATTCACCCCAATCCTTGTTACCCCCTTGCAATCTAAGCTTATCAAGTTTGGCATTACAATCATCAATCTTAGTCCTAGCATTGCCTACATTAGTCTTTTTCCAAGCAATAATGGTTTTTCTATCATTTTGCAATCTTTTCTGGATACTGAAAAGGGCATGCCCTTCAACATCCAGGTTCCAAGCATGAGTGACTATGTCTTGAAACCCTTCTATTTTAAGCCATCTGCTATCAAAGACAAATCTAGTTTTAACAGGACCAGCAGCAGGATTGCTATCCATGAAGATCATGGAATGATCAAAAGATCCTACTATAACATTTTTAACTTGAATATTAGGAAACAGCCAAACCCATTCTTGAGAGAACATAAACCTATCTAGCTTTTCTTCTATGGCCTGATCACCTTTTTTATTGTTGGACCAAGTAAAAACATGACTACAAGTTTTAGCTTCAACTACCCCCAGAGAATAGATAAGGTTCCTGAAATCAGCAAAACTGAATTCATCCCTTCTGAGACCCCTAAATTTTTAAGAGTTATCAAGAATATCATTGAAGTCTCCATAAATAAACCAAGCATCTCCCCAATATAAACTATGCCTGATCAAAGTTTCCCATTGGCCTTTTTCTAACCTCACTATTAGTACTAGCATACACAAATATACCCCAAAACACCTCTAGTTGTCCTATTCTAGAGAATTGGACTTCTAAGAAAAAATCAGAGGAAATAATCTGAATGATCTTAATTCTATCAGACCAGCTCAAAAATAATCCTCCTTTGTAACCCTGAGGTTTCACATAATACCAACTATCAGCTAATTTCAGTTTTTTACACATAGATTCAACAAATTTTTGTTTTTTCTTGGTTTCAGACAAAAAAACAAAATCAGGAAGGTGGATTCTTAGAAAATCCTTGAGATGGGAAATTGTAGAGGGTCCTCCCAAACCTCTACAATTCCACACCATAACCTTCATTGGAAACCTTGGGACCAGTTATAGCTGGTTTCCTCCACCACATTATCAAGAAGCAAAGCACAAGTTTTCAATTTTTTCAAATCAGATTGATCTTCAGAAACTATTTCACTATCATCCAGAATAGCCTCACAAGGTCTTTTGAGATTGACCTTGGTTATATCACCCCTATTCCTCTTACTCTCATCAATGATCATGTTTTCAGGGGCATTCAGGCCAGAGGGAACCTTTTTAAGAGAGGAAGAAGGTTTTCTCCTATTCACTATTTTTCTCCCCAAAGAAGCAGGCTGCACTTGAACCTCCACCAGTGTGGCTTCCCCTTGAGGTGGGGATTCCTTACTAAAAATGATAACTTTATGAACTAAAGTTTCATCATCACTAGCTCCCTTAGTGCCAGATAATACAGTATGGTCAGAATCCACCATAACTGTTTTACCTTTGTCAGGGGTGATAGGAGAATTCAAATTATTCTAATCTCCTTGGCTATCTTTATCCCCTACCACACTCTTAGCTATGATTGGGTCAAGGCTATTCTCCTTGACTTCATCACTAGGTTGATTGCCCCAAGTGTGACTTCCAGAGCTTTTAAAACTACCAGAGTAAGAACTACTGATTCTTAGCCAATCCCCAAATTGTCCCATTCTAAGAGTATTATTCTTCACATCTTCTTTCATTTTAGTGCAACTCTTATCAGCATGACCTATTAAACCACAATAAAAACAGAAGTTTTGGAGATTTTCATATTTAAAATCCACCCATTTAAGAGTGTCCCTCACTTTAATGTGAGTACCTCTCAACAGGGGTTCAGACAGAGGTAACTCAACCAATATTTTCAAATTCTGACCATAAACATTGCTAGTTCCAGGGACTTGAACATTTAAAGGATTACCTAACATTTTCCCCTGTTTCACCCCAATTTCTGCTGAAATCCAATGAAGGGGTAGATTAAAAACCTGGACCCAGATTTTGATTTTTTCCTCATCAGCATTGAACTCATTGTTCTCAGCATTCCATAGTTTGAGCAACAAGTATTGCCCATCAAAAGTCCAGGTTTTTCCTTCAAGAATTCTATCCCTGTCCTGAGCAGATTGAAACAGAAATTGAAAGCAATTGTTTCCTAGGTTTCTGATTGTGAAAGGTTTATTGGTGCTCCAAATTCCTCCTAAAGTAGTCCTAAGACCACTAAAGTTCACTTTCTTTTCCCCAATAATTTTTCCTATGAGACTCAGCTCGCAATCTTGGATTCCTGGGCCTATTTCATCATCAGAGAGAACTAGACCTAATTCTTCTTTTTCAGATGGTTGAAAACGTTTCAATTGATCTGAAATTTCTTGATCCATA